TATTGGAATAGGCGCTTTGTTTCGGCAGGCGGTCTGCTTTATCGTTCTCGAGAACAGGATAAAGAACCAGCATTTTTCCACGGATCACTCCCTCACCCAGCTGCTGTCCCTGCGGAGGTTCCTGGGTAAGAGCGACGGGCTCTGTGGTTGTGGGATGGGGGAGGATGATGATCCCTTCCATCTTATCTTCGTCTGCAGCGACCTAGCAGTCCACAGGAAACCTCTCAGGGACACTGCCCTCACCGAAGGTCTCTACTGGCCCTGCCATCTTCAGGACTTTATCGAGAATAAAAGACTCTTTGCGGACTTTAAGAACTTTGGGGGAGCATCCCCCAGCTGCAAGGGTTGTGGACAACCCGCCAATTTTCCAGCGGGCAAACATCCTCAACAGTAACCGACTCTCAGCACTAGGCTCTTTCTCTACTAGCGCCAGCGGCCTGTTCGGCATGTTCATCAACTATGTACGCTCTGTAATCTTATGTATTTACGTCTTTTGTATGTCTGTTTTATTTTAAATAATTGCGGCGCCAGGCGCTCATGACTCCCTTCACCAACTTTCCTATCTACTTTACACTTCCCCTTACCTCCTACTCTCTCCTCATCCTTTCCCTTTGTTCTTCCTCCCGTGCAATACCGCCGAGTTGCACGGGCTTCACCCCCTTTCACTAACGATGTAACGATGCTTTATCGTTCCCATGGTTTCCGCTGTGGCCTTTAATCTAGGAGAAGCTATATTTGTCCGTTGAACCTTTGATGTTGTCGATGATAAGGTTAGTTATGTAATACTTCACATATTGCTTTGAGATTCTGCTTAATGTAGTACCACTGTCTGAGCAGTTTCGTATTGTTTTATTACTGATCCCATTGGACTCGATGTAACATACTGCTTTGTAGATGGCAAAAAGCTCTGCTTCTGGGACTGTGCAGAAAGTTGCACGTTTGTAGCCTTTTTATTGCTTGGTTCTTTACTGTTTTTTATGTAATGAATGAAGATGGCTCTGATACTGTCACCATCTTTTGATTCGTCCGTGAAAATGATGTGGAAAGGAATCGGTCCTTCTGTGAAGCTGATCAGTGGTAGATGTTCCGTTGCTGGTTGTGGGTAATTTATCTTGTATTTGCATGTGGAGTCCTCTATGAATGTTGTCAGATGTTTGTAGTCAAGGTTTGGGAGGAGTCGAACTTCCACATATTTTTTAAGATTGTTCTGTCCTTTTTGAGTGACACTAAAATTATTAAGGCACCAACTCCATGTTGTCATTTTTGCTTTAATGCGTACTGAATGAAGTCCGGACAAATATGATGCCTTTTGAATATGCTTTTCATTAGTCTGTTACAAAGTTAAAAATTATAAAGTCATTTTTTCACACATGAGTATAAACACAATTATATTATATTTTATAATATAATTTTTCATACTCGTGTGTAACAGTTTTCTACGAATTTACTAGTTAGCCCACATAACAATTTTGGAATTTTGGCGCCCCCCTTTGTCCTTGCTTTTCCACTAACCTGCTTGTACCTGATGTCCATGGGAGATGCGATTTTTGCTCTTGTCGACACGGAGTGACGATCCAAGAACAAAGCAATCGACAACGATTAATTTGTTCTTGTGTTTTGTTCATTTTTCACACTCATTTACCTGTTAGGCGCATGCAATGCTGTTTTTGTTTTATTTTTACCCCCCTAAATTCCGTTAGTCACGCTCAGTCACGTCAGGAAGCATCCACATTGTCACTGACTCCACTGTATATCGAAAATGAAGTCATGGACCCATACTTTTTACGTTTAAATGGACCGCCATTACATTTTTGGATTCCTCATTGTAATTAATGGAAAATGGCAAAGTTTTATGAAAACCGATCGATCAAATTTTGAGATCAAACGCAATATTATAAACCACATTGAAAAGGCTACGCTAACGCTCTGCTTCAAAACTGTATTTGAAATCTTAGATTTTAATTGTATGTTTAATAATAATATTTAAATATCATAAACACTCATTTACAGTAGCAAATTCTGAAGTACCAAGGACAAGCTAACTCAAAATTTAAAAATATTTGAATAATTAATAAATATCTTCTATTAACATGTGACCGACGATTATATTGGGATGGTCCGATAAACCATATTTGCTATCATAAATGCTTTTTAAAAAAAGATTGTTTTGAAGTTTAAATGAACAAATTTTATTTTTTATCTGTTCTAATGGAGAGAGCTACAGGGTCTTAAGCCTTCCTTGTATCCGCCATTGCTCATTGACAAAAAAGATACGCATCCAGATAGAATTGCTCAATTACTGTAAAATTCAGCACACGGCTGACTCTGACAAGTATGTAATTGTGATTATATTGATAGTTATGGTCTAATTACTTGTAAATGTCAGGTAAAGCTACCAAATTGCTTTAAAATCTCTACGACAGTATCCAAGAGCGCCTGTTCACAATTTCCAGTGTATCTGTTGCTTGGAGATATTACGGGCTTCATGCAACAAGTGCACAGCTGAAAAAAAACACTATGCACAACTGATGAAGTTTGAAAAAGATTGCATCATCTAGCTGACGGAAGCAGGATAACCGTTTCGTCGAACTGTCTACCATCTGGACCATTTTGACCTGATTATGAAGCGATCACATAGAATTATTTGGCAATCGAAAAGACACAGAAAATTTTCTGGAAGTGCAAAGACACTGTACTGCTTTGTGCGTGTGCGGAAATAAAAATAAACAACAACACTGATTTGAGACTATTAGGCTAGTTAGGGAAAAGTATTCAGAATGAGATTATCGAACTATTGGCTAGAGAGACCAAAAAGCAATAGTAGAAAAAGTTAAAACAAAGGAAAGTAAATTTACCATTTAGTTATATTGGACAGCACGAAGGCCATTTCGAAGAGTGAACAGAGGACTGTCCGTATTAGATATTGATCAGATCATAAAAACCAAGGAACATTTTTTTCAATTTTGTAATAGTTGATGTTACAACAATCTTCACGGAACTGTTTTAATGCGGATCAGGTAACATGGATTATTTTGAGCCCAGACACTTTACAAAGTGCTATAACAGAGAAATATTTAATTTTCCAGGTTTATCGATTTACGTATTTTCTTTTGTCATTTCAAAGTATGAACTACAGGAAGGAAACTTACGTTGCTTTATTGATTGAGGATAGTTTGAAGTTTTTATATGTTTGGAATCATGTAGATCCATGGTGCCTTTTGTGTTACATAATATTTAAAGTAGATTTTATGATGTTTGTTAGAATGAAACTAGAAATAGGTATCGGTTGTTTGACTCATTAGTTCTACACATGTGGAATTAATTGTATTTATGTTCTGGAAGATGTATTCGTATATTACTATTGTATTATCTTTCCACCTGATATATAGATTCATATATTATCAAGCATTGTCATATAGGCATGACCCAAAAATATCTTACTGTGGAATTAAAACAGATCAGGTTCCAGAAGGTACAGAACAGTAGAAAAAAAAACTAAGAGGGACTAAGAGATCAAGATGTTACTTATGTCTCAGAAATAAAAACAAGCGACCAGTGCAACGAATGAAATAACCGCATTTGCAGTAATCACAGTAAAATCATTTGCAAGAAATAATAAAACCAATAAATAATATTTTCTCAATAAATTATTTTAACAGATTAAATATTGAAATTTTGGAATTTATTTGAAATTTTAGTTTTCTATCATTTAATAACTTTAATAATAATCGATTAACAAATAAGTTTTATTATTATAAATGCGCACTTAATTGATTTGATCAGAACAAGAAGTAACGATATACATGATTGTCGGAAATGAGGATCACGTTGTGATTAATCCGAGAGAAATTCAACCAATCGCAATATAATCCCTATCTACGATAATCACGTTTGTTGTTAATTGTTTCTAGATCAAAGCAATTAGTGAAAAAATACATTATCGTATCTTCTTTCTGAATATAGTAATAAAACTATGTAATACATTAAAAATAATTATTTATCAAAAAATAATATAAACTTTTCTTTGTTCGTTGTTTAAATATTTTACGTATAAAGTATAAATACTTTTATATTATACATATGCAGATATGTGTAATAATGTTTTATACTGTACGTTAGTGTAGAAGTGTAAAGAGAAAGTTTTGAAAATTATGTATAAGCAAAATTGGATATTAAATGTATTAATAATTGTAATAAGATAACAAACTTGAAAAATTCCATTTTTAATTGTATACATTTATAAATACAGTTTGATGTTAAATTCTATTTTTATATAGGCATTTTTTATTGTAAACAAAACAAGTATAACGAAAAAATAGACAAGTAGTCAAGTAGTAGATGTTCAAGTATTCGATTAAGTAATTAATAACAGAAGATAATTAGTTAACTCTTAGACAATCAATAAAAGTCTTATTTTAATTTCTTTTCTTTTAAATAAGTAATTCATACTGACGTCAATTTACAAATGAAACAACATTTATACGTTGGAATAATGTAATACAATTACTTTAATTTCGAAACGTTTTTAGTTTTTGTTAATGTATTCACTATTATGTATACTTATTTCGAAAACATATTTTAATGAAAGTTAATTTAGAATAAAAAAGAGTCACTCGACATGAATAAAATCAAATTATTCTTTCTGTTAAATATAAGATGTTAAGAAATTTCTTTCTAAATAATTTGCTGTAATTACTTTTTTTTTTTTAATTTTGTATGTTTTATTTGGAGTTTTTGAAATAGAATAATTTTCAAGAATAGAGAATACAATTTGTAAGCAGAGTTTAAAATCTGCTACTCATTAACACCACTCCCCTTAACTCCCCACATCTGCAATGGTCAAGTATTCGGAGAACTGAGGGGGTCACGAAGGGGAAGAGATCGCTTGGTCAGGGGAGAGAGGAGAGTAAGCTCCCCACCTTGCAGAGTGGACATCTGGGAAACGGACGTTAAATTTTTCCGTCTTGAGAATGACTTTTCCTTTTTGTTAAATTGTAGCAGTTTTAAATTTTGTAATATTACAAATTGGCGCAGCCGACAGGATTATTAGTACACAGTTGAGTTTATATAGTTTTGAAGTAGAAGTAGAAAAGAATTATGCTTTTCAAATTCTTAGTACAGAAGATCGAAGATTCCTACATTATCTCCCGATATCAAGTAGAAGGGGAAGACGAATGGACGGAGGTCGATCAAGAATTTCAAGGAATCGAAAATCATCCCGCTATTTCATCCTCGGCGGTTTTTCAAACTGCTAGCCGGACGATGACGAATTACCGGACACTAACTATTTCATTATCGGAGACAGAAGGTGAGCTTTATCTTGATAAAACTTTACTAAGACCGGGCGCTACGGACAGTACTCCTCCTACGGACAGTTCACATGACCCGAAGTCGGATGTGTTGGCGCAAATGGTTCAGTTGCAAAAGCTGTACATGGACCAACAAGCCGAGACGTTGAAAATTATGAACTCTTTTCGGCATACCATCGAAAAAATGTCACTAAACCCATCACGCGATACGATCAATATAGAAAAATATGATGGAAAATCGGAGGAAGCGCGTATTTGGATCATTTCATACGAACACGCGTGTGCATCTCACAAATGGGTTACCGACGAACAAAAGATTCGTAACCTTCGAAATTACTTGGAGGGAATTGCCGTAAAATGGTACAATTCTCGAGTACTAGATAGGATCGGTGATAATTGGGAGGAATGGAAAAACTCTTTTCTTAGTGCATTCGGACAGAATCGAATCCAACTGTCCATATCAGCGGATATGTGGGAATATCGTGGTGGTTCACTATTAGAATATTATTTTCAAAACAACGGCGTATCCAATTTGCATATCCGGATATTGGGAAACAAAGCTTTATCACCATGGTAATGCGTGGACTACCTGCGGATATGCAAGCTATTCTTCTACAACACAATTTTAATGATAAAGAAGACTTACGTGTCGGATTGAGCAAATTGGTACCTACCAAAAAATCGGTACCAAGGAAAATCGAAAGAAGGGATAATAATATGCGTGGTAACCGAAGTTTTACCTCTGTGAATGAAATTGATAGTGGTCTCCCTTCCGGTAGAAACTATTTGAATGAGAATCTGGAAAATAGGGAAGATGCAAAAAACGAGTAAAGAAGGGTTTACCGATCCCTCTGACAAAATCGGACCATTGTTTATTCACGGATCATAATGATCCTCGTGTTTTCTCAATGGAAGTGAATAACGTGCATTGTGCGGTTTTTTTTTTGATCCAGGATCAACGGTCAACTTAATTAGTCTTAAACTAGTAGATAAATGCAAACTAAAATCCCATCCGATACATACAGTCTTAAAATCATTTAATGGAGCACTCACGGTATATAAAGAAGGTGTGTTGGCCACTATAAAGTTTAGAGATCGAACTCAACACATAGAAGCGATTATCGTTAAGGAAATGGACTATGAACTTTTGCTAGGGATCCACACATTGGGAAAACTCAATATCTGTTGGAATTTTGGTAAGGAGGAAGTCTTATTAGATAAAACAGACAAAATTATACTACAAAAAAAAGACGTTTTGCGGCATTTTCCGGGTATCGATCAACCCGATTATTCCAGACCCCCAAAGTTCACTGTCGATTTTAATTTAACAGATACGAAGGTGCTTAAATGTAAACCCTATCGGTTGTCTCGTGACAAATATCAGTGGTTAAGGATCAAAATAAAAGACATGTTAGCACAAGGCATAATAGAAGAAACATCATCTCCTTATGCTTCTCCTTGTGTTGTTCTTCCCAAAGGGAATGGCGATTATAGATTGGCTCACAACTATATGAAAATCAACGAAGTGACGGAATTGGATCCTTATCCCTTTCCTTTAATAGATGATATCATCAATGGATTCGGAGGATGTAAATATTTTACAAAATTGGACTTAAAAGATGGATTTTGGCAGATTGGAATTAGTGAAGAGACTAGAAAGTATACGGCGTTTGTCACCCCATTTGGACACTATCAGTATACTCGTTTGCCTCAAGGTTGGAAAAATTCTCCAGCATTATTCCAAAAAGTTATGAATAAGGTACTGGGGGACCTCTTGGATAATGAAAAAGTCCGGAATTATATCGACGATATAAGCACAGGGGCTGACAATGAAACAAGTAATGCGGAGCTCACCTATCGAGTATTAGAGAGGCTATACAACGCAAACTTTGTTATAAACCTAAATAAATCAGAATTTAATGTAAATAAAATCAAATTCTTGGGAAGAGTTATAGATGGTTTTAGCAAAACTACAGCAGCAGAGTCGATAGAAAAAGTCCGTAATATGCCTCGGCCCCATGATCTTCACACGGTAAGGTGTTTCACGGGACTGACTGGACACTTTCGTGCTTTTATTCCGAATTATGCCGCTATCGTTCGACCTTTAGATCGACTTAAACAGAAAGACGTTTCCTTCGAGTGGACGAAAGAATGTGAGCAAGCCTATCAAGAATTGATTCAAAGAATTACATCAAATCCTATATTACAAACACCTGATTGGAAGCTGAACTTCGAGCTTTGTACCGATGCATCCCATTATGGCAGCGGCTCCATATTATACCAGCGGGACACCGATGCTATTCGGGGAAGACAACTACAAGTGATAGGATACCAATCATATACTTTTACGTCAGCAGAGATTAACTACAGCACAACTGAAAAGGAGTGTTTAGCCGTGATCAAGGCGATTAAATATTTTCAAAGTTTCTTGGAGGGAAGGAAATTCATCGTGCATACCGATCACCAAGCGCTTACCTTTTTAATGGGATTAAAAGAACCGAAAGGAAGGTTAGGTCGGTGGCAAGTCTTTCTACAAACCTATGATATGAAAATTAACCACCGCTCTGGAAAAGAATTGACAGACGCAGATGCCATCTCCAGATTGTGTCCTCGCGTGAAATCTATGCCAGTCCACCAAATCGACAAACACAAGTGGCAGAAGACCAAGAATGGCCGGTTGATTGTCCCGAAAAATACTCAAAACAACATTATCAACAGCGGTATCATGATGATCCGGACAGTGGGGGTCATGATGGGTTTTGGAGGACTTATTATAAATTAAGGGCACGGTTCTGGTGGCCTAACATGAGACAAAGTATCCAACGTTACGTGCAGACCTGTCCGATATGTCAATCCGTCAAGTTTAAATACCGACCCCGTCAAGACCAACTTTATTTACCCCCACAATCGAAAATACCATTCAATACGGTACACATTGATTTTGCAGAGCTTCAGAAACGAAGCGAAGGGGTAAGAACGACTAAATCATTTTTAGTGGTCATAGACGAAGCTACACGGATAACGTATGCTAAAGCTATGAAGGAAGATGTGCGTAGTGTCATCCGTTATTTGGATAAATTACCATTATTTAATAAGGTAACTACTATCATCAGCGATTGCGGATCTACCTTTAAATCGGAGAGTTTCAGGCAATGGGCCAGAGACAGGAATATCACATTAAAAACCACAGCCCCTTATCATGCTGCGGGAAACGGAGTGTGTGAGAGAAAGATACGGGATCTCAAGAAATTCCTTAATTGCTATCCAGATTTCAAAGGCGGGTGGAAAAGTTGCTTGGATGCTGCAGTCCGCCACGAAAATCGTAGCTACAACTCTTATTTAGGTTGCTCTCCATTATTCAAATGGCAACGTACAGTTGTTAAACTGGAGGCTGACAGCGAATTCGGTATTATAGATCTACAATCGTACGAACAAGAGCGTACCGAAGAACAAAGAAGGAAATATCGAGACTCCATCAAAAAATATTATGATAGGAAGCATGTAGGACCTTTGGTAAACATTAAAGTTGGATCCTGGATTTTAGTTCAAAGTGGTATGAGAGGAAAACATCCAAACATTAAAGGACCTTATCGGGTCGATAAAGTAATATACTACGACAACATTCCTAAAAATGTGATATATAGAACGGAAAGTGGAATCAAGAAAATAGCTCACCTCACCAATATAAAGTTGTATCATCACAGGGGTGATGACAGGGCTAAGAAGGGGGGTGTAAGCAGAGTTTAAAATCTGCTACTCATTAACACCACTCCCCTTAACTCCCCACATCTGCAATGGTCAAGTATTCGGAGAACTGAGGGGGTCACGAAGGGGAAGAGATCGCTTGGTCAGGGGAGAGAGGAGAGTAAGCTCCCCACCTTNAGTAGCAAATTCTGAAGTACCAAGGACAAGCTAACTCAAAATTTAAAAATATTTGAATAATTAATAAATATCTTCTATTAACATGTGACCGACGATTATATTGGGATGGTCCGATAAACCATATTTGCTATCATAAATGCTTTTTAAAAAAAGATTGTTTTGAAGTTTAAATGAACAAATTTTATTTTTTATCTGTTCTAATGGAGAGAGCTACAGGGTCTTAAGCCTTCCTTGTATCCGCCATTGCTCATTGACAAAAAAGATACGCATCCAGATAGAATTGCTCAATTACTGTAAAATTCAGCACACGGCTGACTCTGACAAGTATGTAATTGTGATTATATTGATAGTTATGGTCTAATTACTTGTAAATGTCAGGTAAAGCTACCAAATTGCTTTAAAATCTCTACGACAGTATCCAAGAGCGCCTGTTCACAATTTCCAGTGTATCTGTTGCTTGGAGATATTACGGGCTTCATGCAACAAGTGCACAGCTGAAAAAAAACACTATGCACAACTGATGAAGTTTGAAAAAGATTGCATCATCTAGCTGACGGAAGCAGGATAACCGTTTCGTCGAACTGTCTACCATCTGGACCGTTTTGACCTGATTATGAAGCGATCACATAGAATTATTTGGCAATCGAAAAGACACAGAAAATTTTCTGGAAGTGCAAAGACACTGTACTGCTTTGTGCGTGTGCGGAAATAAAAATAAACAACAACACTGATTTGAGACTATTAGGCTAGTTAGGGAAAAGTATTCAGAATGAGATTATCGAACTATTGGCTAGAGAGACCAAAAAGCAATAGTAGAAAAAGTTAAAACAAAGGAAAGTAAATTTACCATTTAGTTATATTGGACAGCACGAAGGCCATTTCGAAGAGTGAACAGAGGACTGTCCGTATTAGATATTGATCAGATCATAAAAACCAAGGAACATTTTTTTCAATTTTGTAATAGTTGATGTTACAACAATCTTCACGGAACTGTTTTAATGCGGATCAGGTAACATGGATTATTTTGAGCCCAGACACTTTACAAAGTGCTATAACAGAGAAATATTTAATTTTCCAGGTTTATCGATTTACGTATTTTCTTTTGTCATTTCAAAGTATGAACTACAGGAAGGAAACTTACGTTGCTTTATTGATTGAGGATAGTTTGAAGTTTTTATATGTTTGGAATCATGTAGATCCATGGTGCCTTTTGTGTTACATAATATTTAAAGTAGATTTTATGATGTTTGTTAGAATGAAACTAGAAATAGGTATCGGTTGTTTGACTCATTAGTTCTACACATGTGGAATTAATTGTATTTATGTTCTGGAAGATGTATTCGTATATTACTATTGTATTATCTTTCCACCTGATATATAGATTCATATATTATCAAGCATTGTCATATAGGCATGACCCAAAAATATCTTACTGTGGAATTAAAACAGATCAGGTTCCAGAAGGTACAGAACAGTAGAAAAAAAAAAAACTAAGAGGGACTAAGAGATCAAGATGTTACTTATGTCTCAGAAATAAAAACAAGCAACCAGTGCAACGAATGAAATAACCGCATTTGCAGTAATCACAGTAAAATCATTTGCAAGAAATAATAAAACCAATAAATAATATTTTCTCAATAAATTATTTTAACAGATTAAATATTGAAATTTTGGAATTTATTTGAAATTTTAGTTTTCTATCATTTAATAACTTTAATAATAATCGATTAACAAATAAGTTTTATTATTATAAATGCGCACTTAATTGATTTGATCAGAACAAGAAGTAACGATATACATGATTGTCGGAAATGAGGATCACGTTGTGATTAATCCGAGAGAAATTCAACCAATCGCAATATAATCCCTATCTACGATAATCACGTTTGTTGTTAATTGTTTCTAGATCAAAGCAATTAGTGAAAAAATACATTATCGTATCTTCTTTCTGAATATAGTAATAAAACTATGTAATACATTAAAAATAATTATTTATCAAAAAATAATATAAACTTTTCTTTGTTCGTTGTTTAAATATTTTACGTATAAAGTATAAAT